CCGCTCCCGCGTGGACGGGCCTTCTGTGGCTTACCACGCATTACGCCACCTTCACTCACAACATTTTTCCCGTAGCTGCGGTGGACTTGCAAACAAGCCGGCCTTCCTTATTTCCCAGTATTTTTGCCTGATCGGCTGACTAGGTGTGCCCTGCTCTAAATCTCTTATTCATATTTACACAGGCTTGTTCCAGCAAAATTGCCCTGCGCAGTACGGAGAAGCTACACAGATCACCCCAGTCGTGTTTGCTGGTAGGATGCTTCTGCAAAAATGTAGAACAACAGAGAAAAAATTTAAAAATAAAAAAGGCCAGCACCATGGTCCAGCGAAGGCCTGAAGGTAAATATTCTTGCAGGGTAGATGCCTCTTTCGGCCCGAGTGGAAGACGGATGACAAAAACAATCTCTGCTGAACCGAACTTGTAGCAGCTGTGCCTCGACTCTAGACCTCGCTACCGAAATGGGCCCAGAGGACCAGCCCACTCTGTCCCATAATCAAACCCATCCATAACATGGGCCCGGGCCTGTCCTCTTTAATATCAAACGAGGCAGGCGGGGGGCAGGAGGCGGAATGGGCAGGAGGCTATGTCAGGTGGTCTCCCGAGCCTGGGCTCCCACTGGCGCCATATGGGCGGCCCAGCACAGTTCCATTAGCACCCCCGGAGCAGGGAGAGGGCGTGTGGCGTTGGGCCCCGGCGGCCTCGCCGTGGGCCACGACCTGCCTACCGCCAGCTGCCAGGACCTAAGGCCCGGAGACGAGCCACCGGCAACGAGGGAAACGGTAGCACTGGCGCAGACGCCAAGGGGGGCTGGCGAGACGGCATCTCTGCTGAGGCGGGATCCACTTGCTGCTGCTGGTAGCCCTCCCTGCCACATGGCCACGGGACGCGGGCACGTTCCGGAACACGCCGGAAACGGAAACGTCCCTGCCGTCCAAACCGGACCGCTGCCGTCCTGACGTCTTCGCCCAGTAGGAAGTGAGCGTGCATGCGAGACGGCCAGACCGGGTGGGGTCCGCTTGTGGCCGTAGATGCCCTCACATGCACTCAGGTCGCTCTCCCCGGCCCAGACGCCTGACGGGAAGCTAAAGAGTTCCGGGAACTTCTCAAAGTGGGGCAAGTGAAAGCAGAAAAAGTAGGAGAGGAGAAAGGAAGGGAGAGAATTCAGGGCCCCGCATGGGGATGATGGCGCCTCAGCACGGACCTGCTCAACGACTGGAGGCCTTTTTTGATTAATCATACTCAGGATGAATCATTTATCTATTATTGCTACACATATACAGCATTTTGCATATATAACACTGGGGATTTTCCCTCTACTCCAATTTCACTTTCTTTGCTAGTGAGAATCGCAGGTTGTGCTGATGCTCCATTAGCATTTTCCATTAACTATCGACCCCCCCTGTAATTGACCTCCCAGACAATGAGTGCTTGATCGGCGGGTGCTTCGTGGTCTTCTTGTTGACTTGGGACCAGACGACACGTGAAGAAAAAAAAAAAAAGACCGAATTCAAACGTGTTCTCTACGACCATGCGTCAGATTTGATGCTGCAGGTCGGGGAATTAGAATGATGACCAAGTGTCTCTATGTCTGGGATCAAGGCTGTCAAACGAATCGTCACCCTGCACTGGTCTTTGGAAGCTGCAGGGCAGGTCCAAACACCTACGGGGAAACAGAACAGCAAGGAGCTCTCCAATCTGCCTAACCTACTAAGACAAGCGGTCAGACTACACAAAAATGATGAAGGTTTCTTAAATTTTCACATCGATGTGGCTCTTTGCTCATTTCTCTAAAAACAAAACACTCCCATTCGGCAGGCGTCCCAATCGCTGGCCTTCTGCTGAGGATACGGGGCTGGAGTCTTCAGGAGCAGCGGGTGACTGTGCCATGAACGAGCATCCTGCAAGAACCACGGCGGGCTGGGGGGGTGGCGGGGGGGAGGGGGACTCCGTCTCCGGGGAGACACGGCGCCTGGGGAGAGACGGCCGTGAGCCCTGATTGAGAGCGTCACCTGTCAGGTGCGGCTGGCTGCTCTCAAAGCCGGCCTCGTGCGGCTCTCCACGGGCGCCGGGGCTCCTCATCCCAGACGTGTGAGCCTGTGGGGCCCCCGCTGGCCCCCCCCAGGGGACCCTGCAGCTCCAGGCTCTGCCGCTCGCTGACTCCAGGCACACGGCTCGTGCAAAAAAAACACGCTCGCTGACCAGTCTGTTACCTGCCGCCGCGATTATCGCGGGTCGTCACATTGAGGGAAAATGTGCTGAAGTTATAATTTCTGTCCCAGTAACCCCAATGCGACTAAATGATAAAAATGCATATTTAAAGAGAATAATATATGTACATATATCCTCGTAACGCTCTCACAAAATGTGCTGTAACACCGGCACCCAAATCCCTTAAAAGGACCAGATACCTCTAGAGGGCAGAAAAGAACATTGCAGGGGGGGTGACGATTCAAGCGAGAGTTGGGAAAGGCAGACCCGGGGGCTTAGGGTAACCGAACACACCAGAGGGGAGGGGAGTTCTCAAAATCATCACGCAAGGTAGGCTTATAATAATTAATGTTACATTCTTAATGGTAAAGCATCACAGTGGTGGCCAGGGTGAGCCAGATGTATAGTTACCTACCAAACACTGGTCCCACAAGTCACACAAACAGCGTCGATCTCACTGCTGTGTCTATAAACACGACCCGAGTCACGGCTCAGGAAACCCACTTGAGGTCGTGCTGTACATCAGGAAGCTGAGAACGTGGGGGGGGG